AATTGAAATATCTTCTTGAGTAACTCGCCACGTCCAAACTAGAAACTGAAAAAAATACGATATTTTTGAAAAATTTACATCTTAACATATTACTTCCCTGTGCTACAATAATCGATTTAAATTACTTACCAGTTGTCTTTCCTAGTACACCCGTAACATCTAACAAAGATGAAGCTGTTTTCGTGTAAAGTTACACAAATGGGCTATCTGCGCTCTGTCCACCACGAGGAATTGAACCATGGACTTGAGCGATATAACTCCGTGAACTTACCACTGACCCACCAAGAAACAAAGATAATGTATTCCGTGTATTAACACGAGAATACAACTTACTAATCTAGAATATATTATTCGGAATAAGACCCTACAACAGGGACCGCGATAGTACTTAAAAGGGTCCACAGTAATACATCAAAATTACGAAATTACCATTTACTGAAAGAATAACGAATAAAATAAAATGCGAGGTTTCTCTCAACATGCTTATGTAAAATTGAAGAACAGAAATAAGATAAATGTGGAGCCGGATTTTCGTTTGAAACTGTCAGACATTGACCCAGAGATTCGCAAGGTTGTTTCAGGAAAGCAGTATCATCCTTCTCATAACAGTAGGTCGTATTTGTTTCAACTTTTCCATATTTAAATCTCTTTTCATTGTTCTTTTCTTAAAACTAGAATCAAGCTGTAAAGGTAGTAAAATACACTAGTTACACATGATAAAAACTATTTTTGACGGAGGTGGTCCTCCAATACAGTGAAGAAGGGGGGTCCGCCGGTTGGCAAAGTTTGGGAACCCCGGCCCTACAGAAATTACTATCTGTAACCTGTAACATTAAGCTTCCAGTAGTAGGAGCGTCAAGAGCCAGCACGGGCCCCCAGACAAACACCCTCGCCAGGCCCCCTTTCTCGTTTTTTTAATAGTTTTAAGAACTTATTAAAAAGAAGATCCTAAATTAGGGTAGTAACGAGTTCGTAAACAAAACAAAACAAAATCATAGCAATAGCCGTTTTTAGCTCACAGTATAACACTAAAAAAATTAATAAAGTAACAACAAATATCTATTAAATTAAATCTATATGCAAATAAAAGCCAAAAATTATGAAGATATAGCCTAAAGTGCTTTGCGGACATAACCAGGTTTCGTTCGTCCGGGCCCCTGGGCAGTTTCCCTTTACTCCACTCCCTGTCAAGCGGGCCTGTCCTATTGTAGCCTCCCAGTGGCTCAACTGTAAGTAAGTCTGGCGGCTTATTATGTTAAAAATATAGTTTTGATACCCGCCATAGGCAGAGCATAGATAGCCCATTGTGTAGCTTCGGGCAGAACGACAAAAACAAACAAATATCCACCGGTATGTTTACATTTTAAAAAATCAATCATACACATAATTTTTAATTGTAACAGGTTTTTAGATAATATTAACAATGACGAAGTGAACATTTTTCCTCAGCTTCTGGTTGTCTTAATTGTTTTTACACACCCATTCAACATGTCACCACTGGACACTTTGTTCAAAAATGGATATTCATAAAGCTTTTGATAAGTTAGGGACCGAAATTTCGCATATAACGTACAATTAGCCGGAAACGCACTAAAGACGTTTTGACAAAATCATTTAAACATCTAATATGAAGTAAAAATCAAACCTAATTTATTTTCACAAAGATTCGAACGGTTAAATGAAATAATCGGCAACAGAATATTTTTTTTAAGTTTATTACTTTCACACAAATACTTCGTCAAAAAAGATAAAGAATCATTAAAATATTTACATGAAAAGTACGTCAAAACAGCAGCTAATAACTTAAAAAAAAAAATCTTTGTTATTACCAGTGCGAACGACATTATCAAACAATGTAAGACAAATATTTACAATTACCAACTTTGCTTAGATTCAGAAACTCCAAAAGTCACCCTATAAATATATACTAACTACTAGAGTCAAAAAAAAGAAGAAAAAAAAACATTTCCAAAATTTATCTATTTTAGCATGTAAAGATGTTAAGTACATCAAAGAACACTTTACGAAATATTGTAGCATGGTGAAAGGAAGTACGTGTATTAATCGATACATAATTATCGAAACTTCCGTGTAATAGAAACAAAAGTGAAAATCTTTCAAAGTTAAATGTAGAGAAACATTTGATTTCAGCCTTCCCACCAGCCTACCCTTACACGAAACCAGTGAAAACAGTTAAATCTGCAATTAAAGATCTTGTTACAACGCTGGTAAATTAATGATTTGCATAGCTGACTATCGTTATAAAAATTATCCGTATCACTGTTCTATATTGAACGAATTCAGTAAAGCCATCAATAATACTTTTACTTAACATATTCGTATGATTCGATTCGCACGGGAAAATATGGATGACAACTTCAATCTGCACATTTATTACATCATAAAGCTTCTCAAGAAATACTACACTAAAACTTTGAAAACCTATCAAGCTAAGCACATCTATCCGGGCCCGGCATGGCCAGGTGGTTAGGGCGCTCAACTCGCAATCTAAGAGTCGCGGGTTCGAATTCCCGTCACACCAAACATGCTCGCCCTTTCAGCCGTGGGGGCGTTATAATGTGACGGTCAATCCCACTATTCGTTGGTAAAAGAGTAGCCCAAGAGTTGGCGGTGGGTGGTGATGACTAGCTGCCTTCCCTCTAGCGCAGATAGCCCTCGTGTAGCTTTGCAAACAAACATCTATCCGACAGAACCAGTACTTGAAAAACGTTAAACTAATACAAACATAGCACATTGCATCGATTTAAACATCAGTGTTAGCAAACATTTTCCTTCTAGGCTTACGGTAAACGAAAATACTTTAATAATAAAAGTAATAAATTTCCAATTTTCTGACAAAAACATTCAAATCCAACGAAAATATGTTATAACGTACACCTATAACAGCTCATTAGATTTACTCAAATTTGTTGTAATCTGGTAGATTTTATAGAAACTATATTTTATAGTCTTTCTTTCAACACGGATTTTTTCTCATTTTGGTGTAAGAACAATTTATTTTTAATTAAGACCTATACGATTGACAGTTTCGCTACTTTTCATACAATCTTCAATAAGAATATTATGAAAAATGATTTTACAAATTAGCATAACTTTCTTTTTCCTAGCTTTACATACCCTAACACAAACCTAAGAATCCCACCTATCAAATTATCAGTTCATTCAACATTAACATAAATTCACCGAGAGAATTGTTTTGGAAGTTGTGATCGTCAACTCACAAGTTCATTCAACACCAACATAAGTTGGCCGAGTCAATTGTTTTGGAAGTTGTGATAGTCAACTCACAAGTTCATTCAACACTAACATAAGTTCGCCTAGTCAATTGATTTGGAAGTTGTGATAGTCAACTCACAAGTTCATTCAACACTAACATAAGTTCGCCTAGTCAATTGTTTTGAAAGCTGTGATAGTCAACTCACAAGCTCATTCAACACTAACATAAGTTAGCCGAGTCAATTGTTTAGGAAGTTGTGATCGTCAACTCACAAGTTCATTCAACACTAACATCAGTTCGCCTAGTCAATTGTTTAGGAAGTTGTGATTGTCAACTCACAAGTTCATTCAACACCAACATAAGTTAGCCTAGTCAATTGTTTTGAAAGCTGTAATCGTCAACTCACAAGTTCATTCAACACTAACATCAGTTCGCCTAGTCAATTGTTTAGGAAGTTGTGATCGTCAACTCACAAGTTCATTCAACACTAACATAAGTTAGCCTAGTCAATTGTTTTGAAAGCTGTGATAGTCAACTCACAAGCTCAAAACTTATGTTAGTGTTGAAAGCCGAGTCAATTGTTTAGGAAGTTGTGATCGTCAACTCACAGGTTCATTCAACACCAACATAAGTTGGCCGAGTCAGTTGTTTTGAAGTTGTGATTATCAACTCACAACAGATCAGATAATTGACAAAGTTGCTGTAGGATATAAATAACATTCTTTACACTAAACTTTACATACTCCAACAACAAGTCTGAGCATTTAATACAGCATAGAGATTTAAAACTATATATATCACTTTAAGAACTTGTCACCTTTGGTTTGTTCTCTTCATAAGCCATCTCTCAGGTCTGGCCGTTGGGTAAACTCACTTCTATATCAAGGTCACCTTGAATACGCTAGTGAATTAAAACAATTAGAACCTGTCCAGTAGTACGAGAGGTCATTCCTACCCAGTATGTGTGATTGTTCTGTAGACATCTAGCCAGAACTTGCCACAGAGAAGTTTACACGTGTTTATGTAACTTAGACTATTAAATGTAATTAATTCAATATATGTTTGAGCTATTTACAGCATAAATTTATTATATGACATTAAACAGCAATATACATGAATTAACTAAATATCATAAGCATGGTACATAAACTGATGATAAAGCTTTATGTATGACAGTTTCGCTTTAGTGTTTCGTAATTCATTAAGCAGGACCAACCTTGTCAAATGCTCTCATGATAAGGTGTGAAAACCACTTTACCACGAGGTTACTCAACTAATGACCTAAGACTCTTGGTAAGAGAAGTGGTCATAGAGGCGTTCTGTGGATTGTCACTCATAGTTAAGATTAATTATTATTAATTATCATTTTTATTGAAGGTGTGTAGCAACACTTCTTGTACAAATTATCAAATAACATGTTTGTAATTGGTGTTGAATAATTTGCTTAGGAAGCAGACTTTTTGCTATAGTATTAAGCATTTTTTCTTGTACTATAATATAAACCGTATACTTAACAGTAACATGTAAAATCTAATGGATGAATAAGTTAATCACTGACGTCAATAAAAAGTTGTTGTTTTTCAAAAGTAAATTATATTAGTAAACTGGATTCTTTATAAACAAGAAATATTTTTTATCCTTTCATCAGAAAATTCTTACTCACACCTACGCACCTTTATTATTATTTTCCGAATAGGATATTTTCTTATCACTTCCTGTCAAAATGGCAACCCCGTTGACGTAATTTCTTTCCAACTCGATGCATTCCATAGAAGTTACTGAACAGCAAGTCACGTGGGCAGACGTAAATATTCTGTTTGAATGGTTTATAAAAGGTGTCACTGTCAAGAGAGGAATATAGTACGTTAGGCTATGAAACGTGTGATTACAAATTTTAAAAAATAGTTCATCATTATTTCTCTACTTGTTGACACTAGTGGTGGTGCAAACTTATTATTTCGGAGAAGAAAACGGCACTAGAAATAGGGATGCCCGAAGTTAATATTCAAAATAGGGACAGCAAGGTAAGATGCTTCTGAGGTTAATATTCAAAATGAGGACAGCAAGCTAAGATGTTTAGGACTTCCATCTAGATTACATCTCGGGACTCAAACAATGACAAACTATATGTACTATTAATAAGAGATTTATAAGCTACCACTTCCTGAAAGAATTAGGAACTTCAGGGCTTTATATAGATTCGGAATATGTAGAAACTATACACGTGTGTCTTAAGCTACCCTACCTCTCGTATATTCCGACTGAACATTTAGGATATCCTTAAAAGTAATATAACTTAAGTACATGAATTTTTTTTTAAATATATATTTGTATCAGATCAAGTACTGAATTAATGGTTGTGGATATTAGCAGTAAATACCAATGACATTCAATTAGTAAAATACTGGGGTTTAAAGTTTAGATATAGCTGGCAGTCAACACCCGAGACATTCAAACATTGAACTACTGGGTTGTAGATGTTGGATAATTACAAGAACTCTTTTAATGATGCATCATAATTTTAATAACGGCTTGATCGATGAATCAAAGTAATTTTCAGATTTTAGCTGTGATGTGATATTTACATTTTCATGTGATTGGATAGTTCCAATTTTCCAAAAAGCAAATTTTGAATAAATGTACAATAATTATCTGTTGTGAGGAAACTGAATTAGTTGGAGATACTAATGAAATGTGGAGAATTTTTGAAAATAAATTCTTAAATATCCAAGATAGGCATGTTCCTTAGAGACAAAGAAGGGTGGCTACAAGTAGAAAATCAGGTTGGCTTACAAAGGGTGTAAAGGATAAAATTAAAGAAAAGCATTATAAATAAAAAAAGTTTTAAATTGACTGAAATGGTGAAAGATTAGTAGGATTGTAGAAGATCAAGAAAGCTGGTCAAATGGAAAATTAGGAAATAAAAAAAAAAAAAAGTGTATGAAAAAGGTCTGAAAATGTAAAAGTAATAATAGGGACGTATTTAAATACAGTTCCCCCGGTGGGACAGCGTTAAGTTTACTGACTTGCAACGAGGTTTGATTCCCCGCGTTGGATACAAAGATAGCCCAATGTGGCTTTGCTCTTAACCAAAAATCTTTTAAATACATTAAAGGTAAGCAAAATGTTAGGAATAATAGGCCTTTGAGGGGTAATACAGAAAGGTTAATATCTGATCATTATGGGATGGCTGGGTTATTAATTTCTATCTTCTCTTCAATTTGTACTAATGAAGACTTAAGCAATATCCCTCATCCTGAACAGCTGCTAGATGGAAACAAGATGATCACATTAATTCTGAGCTTAAGAAAAAATCTGGAAGTTTTAAAGACTTATTTACCCAAGAATTTTGAAAGAGGCTAAGGATTGGACATGTAAACACTTGCTAATATTTTTTCTGAGTTCTTGAATAGTGGGCAGGTACAAGAAGATTGGAAATTGGGTAATGTTACTCCTCTTTGCAAGGGAGGTCATAAAAATTGTCCAAGTAATTATTGGATTATTATTATTAGTCCCGAATCAGTGGCGAGAGAAGTTTTTGAAAGTCTGATAATAGATAATTTGCAAAATAATTTTAATTTTTTTGTTTAATTTTGTTGGCTAGTTCGTATGATTTCACTAGGGAAAAATTTTGCCTTACTAATCTTTTGGCATTCTCTGAAGAGAGTACTGCTTATGTAGATGAGGACATGAGTGTGGATTTTGTGTTTCTAAATTGTTCAGAACTCATTTAACAAGGTGCTATATAAAAGGCTTTGTAAAAAGGTTAGGTATGGGGATATATTGACTCCTTGGACAGAAAACTGGTTAGATGGAAGACAACGGAGTGTTATTACAAATGGATTTAGGTCAAACTGGATTGATGTCACGACTAGGGTACCTCAGGGCTCAGTGTTAAGTCCTTTTCCCTTTTTAATTTACTTCAAGGATGTGAATGAAGGAAAGGTGAATAGATTACTTACATTTGCTGATGAGATTAACGTTTTGGGCCTTGCTGGTTGTGAGGAGGATGCTACTGCTTTACAAAAGGATCTGGATTCCATAAAAAAAATTGTTTTACAGTAAATATGTGTGTGTGTGTGTGTGTATAGTATATATATGTTAGTTTTAACATTTAATATACGAACATTTCCCTGAAGGTGGCATTACGGCTGGCGACAAATGTAGGTAATGAAAGTGTAATGATGAGATTTCCCAAGCCAGTTTTAATAGTTTATAAATATACACCTAATTTTTCGTCATTGAACTGATTTATGCTAACTAATTTGTGTTCACAGAGCACTATATAAGTTAAAATGGTC